TTTTTTCATCCCTTAATCTCAATTAGGAGGAGGAGAGGTAAATTTTAATTACCGGGAGTCACTGTGCGCCGCGAAACTATTATTTTTCTCACTGGCCCATGACTTTCATGGCAGTTTTTATTTTTTTGTTACAGAGATTAAGGGATGAAAGAGGGTTTATTGATGGGGAATTTAATTCTCCGTCGAACTGCCGTTTTTTCATCCCTTAATCTCAATTAGGAGGGGAGAGGTGAATTTTTAATTCGCGGGCGAATGGTGAAAAGTCAGTGTGCGCCGCGAAAGAATTATTTTTCTTACTGGCCCCTGAGTTTCATGGCAGTTTATATTTTTTTGTTACAGAGCTTAAGGGATGAAAGAGGATTTACTGGTGAGGAATTTCATTCTCCGTCGAACTGCCGTTTTTTCATCCCTGAATCTCAATTAGGAGGGGAGAGGTGAATTTTTAATTCGCGGGCGAATAGCGATAAGTCAGTGTGCGCTGCCAAAGAATTAGTTTTCTTACTGGCCCCTGAGTTTCATGGCAGTTTTTATTTTTTTGTTACAGAGATTAAGGGATGAAAGAGGATTTATTGGTGGGGAATTCTATTCTCCGTCGAACTGCCATTTTTTCATCCCTTAATCTCAATTAGGAGGGGAGAGGTGAATTTTTAATTCGCGGGCGAATAGCGATAAGTCAGTGTGCGCTGCCAAAGAATTAGTTTTCTTACTGGCCCCTGAGTTTCATGGCAGTTTTTATTTTTTTGTTACAGAGATTAAGGGATGAAAGAGGGTTAATTGATAGGTAATTTAGTTCTCCGTCAAACAGCCTTTTTTTCATCCGAGAGAGAGAGAGAGAGTGATTGGGAGAGAGAGCGAACTGCGACGAAAAACCTCAAATGATGCTTTTTCTCGCATCGAGTCCGTGACGATCCACAGGCCCGTGCGCGCATGCGCAAATAGTCTGAACAATACTGTAGGGAGTGGGGGTGAGACGGAGACTTCTCTCTCGCACAAAAGGTTCTCATTCACGGCGCCGGATTTAGGGATTGAAGCTAGAAAATTGCGTTCAACTTTGAATCCATAGGAGATTCGCGGGTACGATCAAGACAAAATTTGTGGTAAATTTTCTAATAAAAAATATGGAAAAAAAAAATAGAAATTCATTGATTCAATGTCAAGATATAAATAGCAACATATATTAGATTCGCTCTGAATAAATAAACAAGCTATTGAAAAAAAAAAACTGATATTCCGAATTACAAAAAAAAAAATTCATCAACTTCAATTTTTTTAATGGAAAACATTTTTTTTTCCCATCTGATCTTCACGCGGCTCTGGGGGATGAACGGTTGCGAATAGGGGTAAAGTGCCCTCAACATTTTTTGTGTAGAATTTTGATCTCTACAACTTTGTGTAGTACGTTTTTGGACGCACAGCGCGTTATTCACAAGTTATTTCGAAAAAACTGTTTTCAGGGGTAGTTTTTTGGCTTTTTCAACCCCCGCACAAACTTGGGGAACCTTAAATATCCGCCATTAGTTTCATACGCCCAAATCACAAATTCCATAAAAAATGGAGCCTGTATCGCAAACATTCGTATGTTAGACCGACGTTCATTGGACTAGTCGGAGATCCGTTCGGGGTTTCTCCGCGCTTTTGAAAATTCATTCCTCCGCTCCTACTTGAGATTAAGGAATGAAACCGCCGTCATTTATTGAGAATTTAATTCTCTATCGATCGGCATCGGTTTCATTCCTTCATCTTCATTAGGGGGGGAGAAATGAATTTTCTAATCGGGAAAGCCCCTCCGGGCTCACTCGACGTCGGAAAGCCGTTCGGGGTTTCTCCGCGCTTTTGAACATTCATTCCTCCGTTCCTAACTGAGATTAAGAAATGACACCGATGTCATTTATTAAAAATATAATTCTCAATCGGTAAGCTTTGGTTTCATTACTTCATCTCAATTAGGGAGGGGAGAAATTAATTTTTGAATGAGAAGAACTTGTTCGGAGTTACTGCGCGCTTTGAAAATTCATTCCTCCTCTCCTAATAGAGATTAAGAAATGAAACCACTGTCATTTATTGAGAATATTATTCTCGATCGATAGATGTTGCTTCCGTTCCCTCTCCGCAATTAGGGGGGGGGGGAGAAATGAATCTTCCAATCAGGGGAACCCCTCCGGACTCACTCGACGCCGGAGAGCCATTCGGGATTTCTCCGCGCATTCGAAAATTCATTCCTCCGCTCCTACTTGAGATTAAGGAATGAAACCGTTGTCATTTATTGAGAATTTAATTCTCGATCGATCGGCATCGGCTTCAATCCTTCATCTCAATTAGGGTGGGAGAAATGAATTTTCCAATCGGGGGAGTCCCTCCGAGCTCACTCGACGTCGGAGAGCCGTTCGGGGTTTCTCCGCGCTTTTGAAAATTCATTCCTCCGCTCCTAACGGTGATTAAGAAATGAAACCGATGTCATTTATTAAAAATACAATGGTCGATCGGTAGGCTTTGGTTTCATTTCTACATCTCAATTAGGGAGAGGAGAAATTAATTTTTGAATGAGAAGAACTTGTCCGGAGTTACTGCACGATTTTAAAATTCATTCCTCCTCTCCTAATAGAAATTAAGCAATGAAACCGCTGTCATTTATTTAGAACATAATTCTCCATCGATCGATATTGCTTTCATTCTTTCATCGTAATTAGGGGGGGAGAAATGACTTTTCCAATTGGGGGAGGCCCTCCGAAGAGCCGTTCGGGGTTACTCTGCGCTTTTGAAAATTCATTCCTCCGCTCCTACGTGAGATTAAGGAATAAAACCGCTGTCATTCATTGAGAATTTAATTCTCGATCGATCGGCGTCGGTTTCATTCCCTTCTCTCAATTAGGGGGGGGGGGAGAAATGAATTTTCCAATCGGGGGAGCCCCTCCGGGCTCACCGTTCGAGGTTTCTCCGCGCTTTTGAAAATTTATTCCTCCGTTCCTATCTGAGATTAAGAAATGACACCGATGTCATTTAATAAAAATATAATTCTCAATCGGTAAGCTTTGGTTTCATTCCTTCATCTCAATTAGGGAGGCGAGAAATTGATTTTTGAATGAGAAGAACTTGTCCGGAGTTACTGCACGCTTTGAAAATTCATTCCTCCTCTCCTAATAAAGATTAAGCAATGAAACCGCTGTAATTTATTGAGAATATAATTCTCCATCGATAGATATTGCTTTCATTCTTTCATCGTAATTGGGGGGGGGAGAAATGAATTTCCCTATCGGAGGAGCCCCTCCGGTTAGTCCGCACTTTTGAAAATTCATTCCTCCGCTCCTACTTGAGTAGGATAGAATAGAATTTCCCGAAGATTCCAAAAAGCTTCATTGTTCTTCGTGCATGAAAAATGGGGATCTTCGGGAAACTCCTTGCGATCACAAGACTTTTACCGATTTATTTTTCTCCGTGTGACGTCCGTATAGAAGATCAAAAAATCAATTTAACTTTGGGATAAATGGAGAGGAGAGAAAAACGTGAATATCTCGGAAATTAGATGCGACAAAGTGGGCCCTTTTCACGTGGACGTACACATATAATTGGACTGAAATTTATAGAAATTTTTAATTTGCAATGACGAAATTCCTTGAAATTTCCGTATTACGGCAACGCTATAAAAATTCCCAATAAGTTCCCGGAATTTCTGCGAAAATATTACTGAAACTTACAGACATCATTCCTGATTTCAAGACATTCCTTTGATTTTCAGGATCATGTCACTAGAAATTTTTTACAAAATGACTTAATTTTAACATTGCTTGCTCATTGCATTTCAGAAATGCAGCTGCCTAAAAAAGACACATCGATTCCTAGGAACAACGTTTTTTTTTCTCGGTAAATACAGACAATAGAGAAATGTCAGAGTACAGTGAATAAACTTCACTCGTCAAAAACTCCATAATGGCAGAGTTAAATTCCCTGATTTTTTTTCACTCTCGATTAATTTTTTAAAGATTCAAATTGATACTTAAGTATCAATTGATTCATTCACATCGTTCCATTCCATCGGGAGATATTGTCGATTGGAGACAATTTTTTATGGTCACTGAAGAATGCAAACCATTCATTTAAATCTCGCAATAATCTGCGAAAAGTCTCATTCGTTAATCTATTATTATTGATTTAATCCCATTATGTGTATGAGATTTGTTGAGATATAATCTCTCACAAATATTGAATATATTTCTCATCAAAATAATTTGAAATTCATTCATTACCTTTGTATCACTGACAAAATATGTAATAAATGTGAATAACATCAATTGCTCGTATTTTTTATTTATTAAAGATCTAGTTGTATAGAAATTCAAATAAATGATCCTCTTTCGCTCAAGACTTCATAATTCCTTCTCTCCCTCTCCTTTATGATCAACTAATTTACAAATTAACACAATCAGAAGTTGTATGAACGAAAATGGGATAATCAAGCGGATGAGTGAATGCAAAGGAGGTTTCATGTTGGATTTAAGATTGGGAACTCATCCCTGTTATCGACTGTTTCCATGGTAATAGATGAAAATTTCTTTACCCATAGAGACGGCCTCTCGATTAGTTCATGCGCCCCACCGCCTTTAAACTCTGATTGTACAGTTCCCATAAGCCTGAGCAATCTCCCCTATTATCTCTGGCCCAACTACCCACAGACCTCAATTACTCCCTCCACACCGGATTTAATCAGCTGACCATCCCCACGGGTATGGCTACTCCACTTTTGTCATGCATAACCAACATTTCTCCGAATCAATAAAAAAAATCTCCCAAATTCTCCTCGTTTCCGAAAACTATTAAAAACTATCAATTCGAAGAATCTTAGAAAAAAAAACCCTCGCTTTTACCTTGGAACTAATCCCCAAGATGAAAAAAATAAAATGACAAAAAATTCTTCAAATTAAAAATCCTCTCTAAACCGACCCCCACCAGATGTCGCGCCACTAACCAGGTGCAGTGGGAAAGAAATATGGCGGCCGTGTAGTGTCTCAGGCTCCCCGGAACCCCACAAAAACTAGAAAACCCGCGAAAAAACCTAGAAAAACCTAAAAACTTCGTGATCGGTGACCCCCACCATCAAAATTAAAAATTGTCCCCCATAAACAAAACCAAAAACTCCAAAAAATCATTCTGCTCCAATCCGAAAAACACCAACTAATTCCCTGTGATTACCTCCCCCCAACAAAATTGTGATACCCCCCAAAAAGTGTAGTGAAAGTAAAAAATGAATTGGGAACTGATATCCGAAGTGAATGATCAACTGACCGAGACGGAGTTGCGTTACTACAACGACATATACGTTTACTGTTGTGACAGTTCTTCCCCGGATAATGTCCCCGTTCTAACAGCAGCAGAGCTCTACCGTTCGGCAAACCTCCCCCGTGAAGTGACCCTAAAAATCCTCGAGATATGTTCAGGCCCAAAATCGAACATTCACATGGGTCGTAAGCAGTTCTACTGTTCCCTGAAGCTAGTGGCAGCCCACCAATCAGGTGTCGACATAAACAGAGACTTAACCTCAGAATCCCTGGGTATGATAACGTCCCTGCCCCGATTTTCCTGGCCAACATCAGGTGACGAGGATTCGAAGCCCCAGAAGATAATGTCGAGATTACCAGAGAGTACGACCGAGAGTGAGAGTGATGCTGAGTCCCCAAGGGAGACTGGAGGCAGCACAGAGTCCCCGACTCCAACCAACAGTGTCACCCAGGAGCGAATCGACGGACTCCTGGGGTCTGAGGCTATTTTAGATTCTGCCTCTGGGAGCTGGCAGGGGCTTCTGGTGTCCGAGGAGCAGAGACAGCTCCTGGGGACTGAGGAGGAGAGCTCAGAGAGACACAGCAGTGACGACGATGGTACTAGTTTCCCTCCTGAGGAGGTTTGGATGATAAGTGAAGAGCAGAGAGACTATTATGCAGCTCAATTTGGAAGGCTGCAGCCTGATCCCGATGGCCTGCTGGCTGGACCAGTTGCCAGAACATTTTTTGAGAAATCGAGACTACCAGTGGCTGAGTTGAGACGCATTTGGCAGCTTGCTGATGTCACCAGGGATGGAGCACTCTCTTTACCTGAGTTCTACGTTGCTATGCATCTTGTTGTGTTGAGGAGAAATCATGTGCCTCTTCCTGATATTTTACCTATCAGTCTGGCAGTTTCGTTGGGGTCTGGGGCCACTGTTGGTGTTCCTCCACCGCCTCCACCACCACCACCGCCACCAACACTACCAGAAACTATCCAGTCTGAGGGGGAAGTTGTTGCTGGACAGGGGGACAAGAGCAAAGAGTGGACTAAATTCGTGGATTCACCTACCGGGAGTGGATCACTCACTAGTCCTGGGCCTAAACCTGTTAATTTTGATTTTCAAAAGAGTGCGGTGGAGAGGGATCCGAAGATTTTACATCCTGTACCGTTGAGACTAACACCTGAAGCTGCTATCCTGGCATCTGGGGCTAATGGGAGTAATGGGGGAGTTATTGGGGATGAGGATGTACTCAGTGTGGGGTTGGTGCAGAGGGTTGGGGGAAAAAAGCTTGAGGAGGGAATTGTTGTGACACCTAAGAAGGATCCACCACCACCACCACCACCTAGGCCTTATCGAACACATGCCAGGAGCTCTAGTCTTGATCTTAATAAATTAGGTGAGAAAAAAATTAATTATTTCAATAGTAAGATTATCTATGTTAATAGTAGCTATTTAATAATATAATGAAGTCTTATTAAAATTAAAATAATTGCTATCTGCATTTTGTTCATTCATTGCTTGATGAATAGAGTTGACTGATTTTCATTATTCTTCAGGTAAAAATGGACAAAATTTCCTGGGAGCACCCCCATCAGTTCCACCAAGAGTTTCACCTGGATCTGTAAGACTTGTGTTAAGAATATTTATTCAAAATTGCAAGCACTCAAAACTTTTTATTTTCCTTCACCTGACAGACAGAGTTGATCTTTTTCATATAGATAAAAATTCCAATTCACGAACTCCAGTTGTTAATTCATAAATTTTTTGTCTCATAAGAATCTTTGCAAAAGAAGAAAATTGCTCATTAAATTTTCTTGAAATCCTAGCAAAATTTTTTATCAATTATCAATTTTGGGCTTATCCTTTTCCCCATCACTTGAAAAAATAACAGAATTTTCTTCGAGCTGAAAGCTGTTTGTTTTCCGGCCAATAGATAACAAATTTTCATTTCACAAGGAAAATTAAATTTCCCTGATTATTAAACGTTCTATCAATTGCAGAGCTCACCAAGAAAATTAGTTGGGCAAAGAAGCGAGTGCGACAATCACAGAACAGTCAGCGAGAGTCAAGGATTCGTCGCTGATTTTTCACACTTCTCACCAAAAGGTGATGACAATACTGGTAACGCAGAAAGTGGGACAACATCCCAGAATCATCAGTTTGCTGGACACTGCGGTGCATTTCATATCTATAGGAAGCCTAGTCCAAGTAATCAATAATTAACACCCTCTAAATCCTTTCTCTTTCTCTTAATAGCTTCGATCATCTAACAGAATCATTTAGTTTTCATACCTGCAAGTTTTAAGAACACTCATGAATTTGGTTTTGGCATGAGAAGTATTAATTTAGTCCTTGGACATCATTCTGGAAATCATTAAAGCTTTAAAAATGATTAAAACAGGAAAACATTTGAAAGCTTCTAAATTACGAAAACTATATTTTTATCAATTCAAGTGGTCTGTCTTGCACACTTGTTCTGTATTGATTCAACAGTGTACAGAACTTTTTATGAAGAATAATCATATCCATTTATGAATGATGATATTCATCATCTCAATTTTTTTAGAACGTGGAGAAGGAGAAGATGAGACTGGAAAGGACGACACAGACAGCAGCAAACAATTAACTCTCGAGGAATTACGTGAGAAAAATGCAGAGTTGCGTTCAGTTTGTGAAGAACTAACACGCGAATTAGCGAGTGCACTTCAAGAAAGAATTAATCTTCGTGCAAAACTACTTCTGATAACTTGATCGACATTTATACATCCATGCATTCATCGCAGTGCTCGTTCTCTCTCTTCCTAATTTCGTTTTTTGTAATCTCACAATTTTTCCTTCCGGAAGTTCTGATGGTATTCTAATAATCAAGCATTCTATTTTATTTTATTTACATTCACATGAAGGAGGAACGAAGGATTTTTTTTTCTTCGGCTTTGCCAACTCACGTTCCAATTGAAGAATAATATATCAGATAAATGGAGGTAGCAATAATGCCTACGATTGTATATCAAGCGATGGCTGTGTTTAACATCTAAACATTTTTTAGAACGATTTTATTTTGTATTTCCAATGTTTTTTAGTTTTTTGATTAATTATTTTATAATTAGCAGTAATAAATCATGATGAAATTGGTGAATCAATGTTATTATTTTAATACAATTGTCATTAATACAACAATAGCCCGAAAAATTATGTTCGAAGTGTTGCATTTTTCACCTGAAAAATGTTTAGATTTACAACTGCCCAGTCTCAATTTTTTGGCTCAAAAAATTAGAAAAAAAAGTTGAGCCAAAGGCCAAAAAATGTATTTTCGTAACTCTTATTACCAGTGTATAATATCAATTAAAACTAAAACGTATTCTATTCGTTGTAACACTGACAAAAAAAAACAAGTTTGAAGAAGAATAATAATTTACAAAGCAGCAGTTTTGATATTTGCTGTGTTATAGAAGAATGAGAATGAATTAATAATTGAATTATCGCATTTTTTTAACTGTTCAAATGCGACTGGAATATGTATATAATTATTAGAGATGAAATGAGAGATATTACGGAAGAAAATATGTTCGGGAGTGGAGGAATTGGCTTTCTGTATGGCAATGATTCGCCAATGGCTAAATAATGAATAAACAGCTTTCTCTAGCAAACGAATTGATAAAAAAAATGAATTCGTCGAGGGCAGTTCATTGAAGTCTCTGGAGCTGGCAGTTATCCACAATCAAATGGATTTTTTTGTGATAAAAATGAAAGGAAAGATAATTCTAACACAAATAAAACGATGAATATACCAAGATTGAATTGTTCCAGAAAATTTCTGCCATAATTTATCTCTTTTCCTCTGGCGTTCCTTTTATTGGATAAGAGTGGAACCATCTGTCTATGTATTTTTCGATCATGTATAATAATGTAAAAATCATTTTGTATAAAGAAATTCATCAATTATTAATTATTTATTTCAAACAGCTTGGAATGATTTTCTGATTCAAATTTTGTACGAGTCTAATCAACGTCTTCAGGATTTCCGCTTCCATTTTCCGTATAACACATTAATCACCGTAAGAAAATTGATTTAGAATTTGCAAATGAGTAATATTTCCTTGACTAATATTCTTGCTATTTGTCCTTCCAGGTTTCTAGATCTCCGCAATTTTCCAGCCATTATCTTTGTGGATTAAGCCTACAGGGGATACCACATTAAAATAAAACGCGTCAAGAGCTCTACCTGTTAGGTGACGTGGAAAGAACTTCGTGTGACTGGAGATTTTATCATTTTTTTATTATCCAGGCGAAACCTCGCATGTTCTCTACTTCAAAAAAAACTCTCTTCAGCATTCGCAGTCCGATTAAATCGATAGATTATGTATAACGAATAATGATAATAATGATAGCAGAAATTGAAATTTTCATACTTTCGTTGCATTTGAAACTGATCCTCGCAATCCCTTGTGGCTCCTTGTGACTCTTTTCTGTTTTTATTCTTAAGACTATTGTGACTTTTTTCCCCTAGTGACCCTCGCGATTTTGGTCGACTTTCATGACTCTTTGGATTACTTGTTACTGTTCTTTATCCGTTGGGACTTTTTTTCTTTTGTGGCTATTGAAACCCCTTCTACCCCATTTATTTCACCCCTCGTGACCATTATGACCCTAGTATCTTTTTCAAAACTTGTTCATAGAAGAAAACATTAAAAAACATAGTTCAAACTGGGATCCTCGTTATCGTAATCCCATGCCTCCAAATTCTTCCCTGTCAAGCTTCACTGAAGAGAAGAGGAATAATTAATTGAATGGACTTCTGATGTTAATTATTCTTCCTTCTAATTAGTATTTCAATCGTCTAGTCGACATGACTCTCAGTCAATCTTTATCGCCCGACCCATGGAACTATTCGCTGAGAATCATATACTGTTTTCATCTCAACATTTTTTAATCCTGTTCCTCTCGATTGAACACAAAATTTTATTTTCATCACAATGTATCGGAAAAGTAACTTTCCAGTCACGCTCCGCTTCGCTGCGCGTGCTCCGCTTCGCTTCGCGGGCCTGGCCCTTTCCGATACATTGTGATGGAAAATTTTGTTCGTAACTCGTGAAAAAAGTGGTTTTTGGCGAGTGGGAGGTTTATATCACGAGCCGAAGGCGAGCCACCACTTTTTTGCACTCGTTACGAAATATACTATTTCTCTCTCATGAAAANAATGTATCGGAAAAGTAACTTTCCAGTCACGCTCCGCTTCGCTGCGCGTGCTCCGCTTCGCTTCGCGGGCCTGGCCCTTTCCGATACATTGTGATGGAAAATTTTGTTCGTAACTCGTGAAAAAAGTGGTTTTTGGCGAGTGGGAGGTTTATATCACGAGCCGAAGGCGAGCCACCACTTTTTTGCACTCGTTACGAAATATACTATTTCTCTCTCATGAAAAAAAAAATTGATTTGACGGGGATTTGAACTCGCGACGCAAGTAAAATCGGCGTGTGGTGGGAGATCTAATCCACGTGAGGGGAAGCGACGCAACAGCGCCGCGCGCGACTTCCATTGGAACTTGTCCCCTGTTTCGGTGTCGGCGACATCAAAGCTTCAGCATACCTCCCTGTATCATACCTTAAGTACTGGTACCTCCGTGATCCCGTCGTGTTGATTGGTGGAGATAGGGTAACGGAATGACCTATCGTCGCCGAGATATCCAGACTAGGAGGCAAGGCCCTAGTAAGATTCCGAATTAGTCGCACGCGAGCGCTTGAACCGAGAGGTTGGAAAAATCTCTCGGTGTGCTGGAGTGGTGAATGGCTGAAGAAGCCATGGTAAGGAGTTTTACTCCACGTAGCCTGGTNCCGACCCATGGAACTATTCGCTGAGAATCATATACTGTTTTCATCTCAACATTTTTTAATCCTGTTCCTCTCGATTGAACACAAAATTTTATTTTCATCACAATGTATCGGAAAAGTAACTTTCCAGTCACGCTCCGCTTCGCTGCGCGTGCTCCGCTTCGCTTCGCGGGCCTGGCCCTTTCCGATACATTGTGATGGAAAATTTTGTTCGTAACTCGTGAAAAAAGTGGTTTTTGGCGAGTGGGAGGTTTATATCACGAGCCGAAGGCGAGCCACCACTTTTTTGCACTCGTTACGAAATATACTATTTCTCTCTCATGAAAAAAAAAATTGATTTGACGGGGATTTGAACTCGCGACGCAAGTAAAATCGGCGTGTGGTGGGAGATCTAATCCACGTGAGGGGAAGCGACGCAACAGCGCCGCGCGCGACTTCCATTGGAACTTGTCCCCTGTTTCGGTGTCGGCGACATCAAAGCTTCAGCATACCTCCCTGTATCATACCTTAAGTACTGGTACCTCCGTGATCCCGTCGTGTTGATTGGTGGAGATAGGGTAACGGAATGACCTATCGTCGCCGAGATATCCAGACTAGGAGGCAAGGCCCTAGTAAGATTCCGAATTAGTCGCACGCGAGCGCTTGAACCGAGAGGTTGGAAAAATCTCTCGGTGTGCTGGAGTGGTGAATGGCTGAAGAAGCCATGGTAAGGAGTTTTACTCCACGTAGCCTGGTGCATAACTTTGGCGACGAATACAGGGGGATGCCCCTGCATCGCCCGCGCGTAAATCTGAGTTATTTCGGAACGCGAAGTGACGACTTCGTCGTGTCCGGCGTCATCTAGTCTCGGCGGAACGATTCGAGGCATATGGGCTCGTGGGCCTGGAGTCGAGAAATCCTCCTGTCGGCCCGACCATACGCCGACGGTCTAGTACTACATGGAGGCAGTGACGGGCGATGACCAAGGCGATAACTGGTGGTTGAGAGTGTGGGTGGTCATAGCGTGGGTAACGTAGTTCCATCCTGGTCAGATCAGTCTCTCAACGTCCCAGGGTCTGCGGAGTCCCGGCTGATTCGCAGACAATTCGGAAACTCTCCCGAGTATAAATACTCGGGAAGAGGAAGCATGCCGGAGGAGTCGAAAGACCCTCCAGAGAAAACATGAATCCAATTCAGTAGGGGACTTATGACGCAAGACATAATCCACGGCTTGCAAAGGTCGTGAGGAAGTGGTGGTTATACTCCTGGTAGACCTCGCCCACTCTACCGTATCACGCTGATGTTAGCTAGGCAATCCATTGTCCAGCCGAGAAGTCCCCTGGGTAAACGAGTTCGCCTCAGGGGCCGGTTTTCTTCGAACCTCGCGTGAAGGTTCGGCTGGCGCCCGATTATTGAGCGATAGAGACGGCTTAAAAAGTATTTTATGTCGCGCCGTGCAATAAGTCGAGTTTATCGCACGCTGCGCTTCGCGCAGCTTGTTCAAAACTCGACTTCTGCACGACTTGACATAAAGTATTATAGAGCACTCGGTAATAAATTCCGTTTACAGGCCGAGCCGAAGGCGAGGTCTGTACACACATTCGTTGAAAACGAAATTTGTGCCCTTGTACTCTAATGTACTATTGGATTTTTCCTGGGTGAACAACCCGGGAAAATATCCTTACAAGTTTCAGTGAATCAAGTGGCTCACTAAACTCACTTATTTTTAGTTTTCGTTTATTTATATTCAAGTTCCATATCCTAGTTCTAAAAAGGACATACACTCAAAGTCGATAACTATCGATATCTCGCAAGTCTGTCACGCTTATTCCTCATTGGTTCCANATATGGGCTCGTGGGCCTGGAGTCGAGAAATCCTCCTGTCGGCCCGACCATACGCCGACGGTCTAGTACTACATGGAGGCAGTGACGGGCGATGACCAAGGCGATAACTGGTGGTTGAGAGTGTGGGTGGTCATAGCGTGGGTAACGTAGTTCCATCCTGGTCAGATCAGTCTCTCAACGTCCCAGGGTCTGCGGAGTCCCGGCTGATTCGCAGACAATTCGGAAACTCTCCCGAGTATAAATACTCGGGAAGAGGAAGCATGCCGGAGGAGTCGAAAGACCCTCCAGAGAAAACATGAATCCAATTCAGTAGGGGACTTATGACGCAAGACATAATCCACGGCTTGCAAAGGTCGTGAGGAAGTGGTGGTTATACTCCTGGTAGACCTCGCCCACTCTACCGTATCACGCTGATGTTAGCTAGGCAATCCATTGTCCAGCCGAGAAGTCCCCTGGGTAAACGAGTTCGCCTCAGGGGCCGGTTTTCTTCGAACCTCGCGTGAAGGTTCGGCTGGCGCCCGATTATTGAGCGATAGAGACGGCTTAAAAAGTATTTTATGTCGCGCCGTGCAATAAGTCGAGTTTATCGCACGCTGCGCTTCGCGCAGCTTGTTCAAAACTCGACTTCTGCACGACTTGACATAAAGTATTATAGAGCACTCGGTAATAAATTCCGTTTACAGGCCGAGCCGAAGGCGAGGTCTGTACACACATTCGTTGAAAACGAAATTTGTGCCCTTGTACTCTAATGTACTATTGGATTTTTCCTGGGTGAACAACCCGGGAAAATATCCTTACAAGTTTCAGTGAATCAAGTGGCTCACTAAACTCACTTATTTTTAGTTTTCGTTTATTTATATTCAAGTTCCATATCCTAGTTCTAAAAAGGACATACACTCAAAGTCGATAACTATCGATATCTCGCAAGTCTGTCACGCTTATTCCTCATTGGTTCCAGTCGTCTGAGGCGGCAAATTTATTTCATAATTAATTTAATTTTGA